CATCCCCTCCGGAAATCCTGCGGGCTCTTTCCACCCTTTCTTCTCAGGCTTCTAACCTCTTTCGTCTCTCCGCAAGTGCCACTCCATCTGTATCCTTCTTCTCAAAGTAAAGCAACTTTAGGGTGTCGTATCAGAGTCGATTTGAAGAATCTATTGAAGAATTGGGTCAATCTTGCAGTGGTGGACCATCGGTTTGCTAGTTCTATGCACTTTACTTATTTAACCTACAAATTCGATGCATGTGAGGAACCCGCTCTGACGGTTGTCTGAGGATAGCGTCTTTTTAAGTTTCTTTATTTCTTTAAAATCTCCAAGCATCTTTTGTTGTGTTTGTCAAGTTTTGGGTCGTTTGAGTTTATTTAACAAAGTTTGTTTTAAGTTCTACTCATTGTGTCAGTTTTCTTCTTGTGTGTCTTTTGTGTTCAAGAAATATAGGGTTCCCTATATCCCTTGTCTACATCAACCTATAGGAAACCAGAACTCAGATCATAAAATCCTGTCAAAATGAGGCCGAAATCTCTGGGTAGTGTCTTATCTACAAACCCATCTGCCTTCCAAAATTTACCCCGGAACTTAAATCCTTTAAAAATCCCCCGAAGAAAAGCAAAACAGTGCGAGCGGAGGCCGGGGCCGAATTTTCGGTGCCCACAATCTTACAAGAGCGACTTACACACCCAATGAAAGTGACCCAAGCTCTTATTCATGGTTAATAAATTCTATGACATCTAGGTGTAACGGAGGAAGCACCTACTTCAAGATGACATGTAGTCTTGGTCTATCTATTCTATTAAACTAGAACACCCCATTATAGACTTATATTCTTCCCTTCAACAGCGACAACCTGAGCAAAACTCCATTTATTGGTCTTTTTTGATGGTGTTGTTTCTTTGTGGAAAATGCAACGAAGATGATCTCATCGGAGCAACTTAAACACTCAATGAAAGAAACCTAAGCTTTAATAAATTCCATGACAAATGAAATTGGAGAACTTTTATGTGCTACAAGATCACTGAAAAAATATGGGTTGCAACAAAAGAGACCTACTTCATTGTTGATAGTTCATTAGCCATTTTTGGGAACAAGAGCTTTGTTCATGACCTATGTCAAAGTGAAGATACCATCATGACATATTTGAACTCTTAAAACATTGTTGACAACAACTAGACATCTTTGATGAAATGGAATGGAAGTGCCCATAAGATAGTTTGCAATATGAGACATTAGTGGAATAGGAATAAGTGTAGACGTTCCTAGTTGGTCTAAATAAAAGTTTAGTTAATATTTGTGAGAGAATCTTAAGCATCAAGTCTTTACCCAATATTCATGAAGTTTTTTCTAAAGTTTAAAGAGAAGACAGTATTAAAAAGGTAATATTGGGGGTACCTAACATTGTTTGAAATTTTGATGATGAAACTCTAACCTTTCAAGCCATGGATCTTAATTGATCTATGTAGGTGATAGACACAAGTAGATTACGAGATAGTGGTGTGATCATTTGCACAAGATTGGGCACACTCGTGAAAACTGTTAGTAGATACACCGAAACCCCGCTCCCCCCCCACAACTAAAAATATAAGAAAACATAAAACCATGAAATGTATGGCAACATTATCTACAATCAGACTCCAACATAATTTGGCATAAGTTCATTTGATAAAAAACCAATTTAATTCCTTTAAAATTGCTTAAGCAAGCACCATAGTTTGAACAAGCTCTGAAACTCTATAAATTGATGGATTAATGGTGATATGAGAAATTTATTAGTTATCCAAACACTCATAACTCTTTTCAAAGTTATCCGTACAAAACAACCCATCAATTTTTTTTTGTGTATGGTGATTTATCTAGACCATCTTGGGTTAAAAATATCGTCGACTCAAGATTTGTTATATTTATCTGTGATCACTTTATTGTAACATTCTTATTTCATATGAAAGAGAAATATTAAGTCACAATTTTTCAAAAATTAATAAGAAATTGCAAACTTTGTTCTAAGTTGAAATTAAAGCATACTAGGATGACCATGGGCATGAGTACTATCGCTCTACTAGAGTTAATAAATGTCTAATTAAAGATAATCAGACATAATGCTATCAGGAAAAATCTGTAAATTGCTGATAAGGAAATATAGATTAGGCGATAAAAACTATGAAACATTAAAACATTCCAAGCCTTGTGATGAAAGACCAGTATTATGATGCACCCTATAAATTGTCTTTTAATCAAAACTCTCACTGCGATCAGGCAAAGCTGAAAGCTTCACTGGGAAATTGTTCTTGGCTGTAGTTTCCACCGAGTCTTTGATCTCGGAATTTTGGCAGAATAGCACTTTTCTTTCATATGTTGATTTGTTAAGTTGATGTTAACTAGATTCCAACCTCGTATTAGGTTCTGGGAGCTTTAGCAGGAGCTTTTGATGATAAGAAGAGAAACGTTCGTCAGGAGGCTGTTAAATGCTGTCACGCTTGGTGAGATCATCATATTTTGTAATTGCTTTTCCTGAATCTGTATTGCGGTGACTCACGTCCTTATAAAATGCAGGGCCTCAATGGCTTCACGATCTATTCGTTTCTGAGGTAAACAGAGATGTTTAATACCCCAGTGAAAGTATGCTCAGTGTGTTTCATTCTCAAAGTTCAGTTTCCTTTTACTCTTCAACTTCTAAAGTCATTTATCACTCACATTTCTACTTGAAATTTCTTGTAACATCTTTTCAATTACATGTGAACTTGACCATATATGGGATTTGTTTTTTGTTTAAAGAAACATATCACTTTATCTTTAAATAGCCAAAACACATTTTTAGATTTTTTTTTTTTCTGGAAACAAGCATACCACAGCCTTGAATGCAGCCCAAAATGAACCATTTATCTCACGAGCTGTATTTTTATGTGCTTGAATCTACGATCATCCCTTCCATCCCGTTGCTGTATTCAGTCGCTGGCTTTGTACTCGTCACTTTGGCGACCCTCGTATCCCCACATTCAACCTTATCACCTTCATGTAACAAAAAGAGTTCATATTTGGATTGTGAGGTTGCGACGATTGGAGATGAAGACGGATGATAAATTCTCACAATGCCGACCACAAGTTTGATAGTGCCTTCGATCTATGGCATGGCAAGGCCCTCTCCGATGTGTGTCATTGAATTCGTTAATTGTTTTTGTTGTGTATGTAAAAAATACAATTATTTGACACTTCATCTTCAGTTTGTGCGGCCATCCTTGCCTTGCTTTTGGATATCTTTAATGACCAACATTAAGCCCTCTCTTTGGTCCATCTTGAGTACCCTTCTCTCTAGCTGTCAGGCATTGACAAGCTCTCATCTTATGTTAGCACATCCCCCATCCTAATGGAGGGAAAATAGATTACGAAGCTGTTTGGGAACAATCAATTAAAATATACATATTTTTTTCATGTAAATATTCAGCAAAGTAAAAGCATAATGAATTTTAACTACAAAAAAAAAAAAAAAGTCCAAATGGCCTCTATATTTAATACAATATCTTATATATATTTTTAATAAAATACAAGACATGAACTTGTCATCAAACCTAGCTCAAATAAGTTTTCCAAACAGTTTGAATCATTTTTATTATTTAAAATCAATGAATTTCGTTCTCTTAGAATTTAAAATAAACAATATGCCATCAGAATGCTAAGCATTTTATTATTGGATTGACAATTTGCAACATTATTTCAAAATTTATATTAAATTAAAACAATTGTAATGTTATTATAATGTCAAGAAAAATAAAGTGTAAAATTATCTTGAAGGTTGTGGGGGTACTTGACCCTACAAGTAGTACAATTATGGCATTTTATTCCACGTCACCGCATCATTTGAAGGTCTTATGTTCTTTGGATAACCACTCTTTTGCTTCAAAATTGGTGGTAGCATGATAAAGTTTTTTATTTCATTTGAAATCTCCTAGGCGTTCTCATTTCTAATTGGATATATATTTTGAACCTATGTACATATAACATTTCGGGCATAATCTAAAGTAATTAACACCCCCTGATGCATGTTCACATGGGAGACAACGTCAAACTTTTTAAAAATAAATGCCCTCACATAAATCAGCATCATTGTTATAGTCATTAAGAGCATGCAATTCAAATAGACTAAGGAGGTAGAGAATCAAATTTTTAGCTTAGTTGAAAAGCTTTTCTAATGGCTCTTAATTTTCATTATCAAAATAGTTTTGGTATTCATTGCAATTATGTGTTTATCCAAGAATTTTTTTTGTATTATGTGTTTTAAAACTTTAATAAATAGTCACAAGATAGGAATTTGCACTCTTGATTACATGATTAAAGCTCTCTAAATTATTTGTTGTTATCAAGTCGTATCGATTATTGGGGATGAAAGAACGAGTCCCTGACTTTAAAGCAATTTCATGCTTCAGATAGGTAGCTATAACTTCATTATAGAACCATATTTTGTTAAGTGCTTATAGAACTCAATACATTTATAAGCTTTGGAAGCCAAGTATATTTATCATGTTAAATTTTAGTTTTGAACTGTATCTAAATTTTCATTGCAATATGTTGAGATCAAGCCTCTTGGTGTGCCTTTGAAAATATTGTGGACAAAGCATTGGTGGTACTATTTCACTTATCATATTCAAATACTATGTTTTTCATTTTGCATATGATGTTTCTTACTCTAGTCATAAAATATATACATGAGCCATTATTTTTTGAGTTAACTATTGTAGATGTTACTGGATATATTTGAGCATTATCTTGTGTCATTGCATTAGCAAAGTATCTCTACAACATATATTTAAAAATGTTTTACTACACTGAAAACTGAATGACCTGTGGTTTTAAATGCTTGAATACAAACACCTAAAGTAGAGTAAACACATCACGTCCTAAGTGTCAGTTTGAAGATCAACGTCTACTCTTGGATTCTTTCTATTAAGCATTACGAGATATAATGAAAAATTTTTAGAAGGATATTACGGTGATCATACTTAAGTGATAGTTTACGCATGACACCTCTAAGTCTTATCATAAGATAAATCAATGTTGTAGCCTCTCTTCATGCCTAAAATAATCATTCTTGGCTTCAAATTAGGATTAGGTTTGATGAGCTTTTTGGTTATCCAATGTTCTTTCAAACTAATATCTATGGTGCATGTGCGTTCTGATTTATAGCTCCTATTCTCAAATATCTTTCCCAACATCTTAGCTCGCAAGGTTTATGAATATTTTTTAAGTATTTAATAGATATACTAAACATCTTTATCATATATTTTTTACTTGATTATACTTTTTTTTAATTTTTTTGTCTAGTTTTATGTAGATCTAACATCCTCTTTCATTCTTTTTTTCTCTCAGAGTCACACAAATATTAAATGAGTTGAGGATGAATTCGAGCATGAAGTCATTATATCGGTAGCCACTGAATTTGAGGTAATTTTTAGACAATATTTGTTAAATTATGAGGTTTTGAGAGGAAAAGGCTCGACTTTATTGCTAAAATCTATCCCTATTTATAAATCTATACATAATATTAAGGGGCTCTTTGGTTGCCTAAAAAAGAAATGTAGTGTAAAGCAAGGTTTAAAATTGTGTAATCGGGTTTGAGGCGTTTTTCGTTCGTGAGGCAAGGCGTAAGCCTCCAAGCGTTTTGAGGCGTAAGCCTCAAAATCAAAAAATTGTGTAAACATAAAATAATTAATTTTGTATATACTAATGAGTAAATAATATAAAATATAAAAATGCACAAGATAAATAGCAATGACATTGACATATCACATAAGATCCCACTAGTCATCAGTACTGCATCACTCATCAGTCATCACTAAATGGGTCTTCATTTGAATCATCATTATGATGAACTGTGCTCTCCTCTTCCTCCTCTCCTATAGAGTCCAATGTCTCCCAATCAGTTCTCTCTTCCTCATTATCAATTATCCTCCTCTTCCCTAAATAGCTTTCATCTTCTGATATCACTATTAAAAGTTCCTTTCATGCATAATATAGGGCTCTGAAAAATATGTATAGCAAAGATTAGTTATGTAATTTTTTAAAAAATTGAAGAGTTAATCAATTTCATGATTTCATTTAACACTTATGATTTTGGAACAACAAGTCTATGTTCCTTGACGTGGTTGGGCAACGAGTCATATAATTTTCACCTTTGTTCTTTCAACAAACCAACCATAAGGGTCCAGTGCGAGAATTCAATGATTGACTGTAATAAAATGTTGTTTGAAGTAACAGAAAGTTCGGTTATATGGTCGATTTATAATCTGGATAATTGATCCCTTCATTTGTTATTCTGCAAGTGCAAGTAGTGTAAGAAATAAAAAATAAATATTAAAATTGGTGTTAAATCGATTAACTGAATACTAAGTTACTAACCCAATAGACTTGCGAGATGTATAGAAATTTATGGTACTTGTCAGACATAAGTTTACACTTCTCATTTAACTAAAGGGAGAAAATATCTACATGTTCATTGCCTAAATAATTGTCACTTAATAACTCATTAATATCAGCTCTAGAAATAAGAAGGTTATAAAAAAAAAGACACTATCGTCCTTGCAAAAAAAAATATATATAAAATACGCAAATCATACGCATATCATATGCATATCATACGCATTGCATACGCATATCATACACATATCACACGCATATCATACGCATGCCATACGCATGCCATACGCATATCATACTTAAAACTAAGAGAATTATGAGTTCATAATAGTTGCACTTTTTACCTTTGATTGAACATCTTCAAGTATTTGTACAAAAAATTTCTCTTCTTATAACTCAGACTCAGAATACGCTTGTAATTTACTATTTCATTTGCATAATCAGGAATTATTTGAATGTCATCGACTTGTAGTGGTTCATTTGGATTTGGGTATGGAATTAGTTCCATTTCGATTGGGATTGGCTCATTTTGTGGGATTGGTTTATTGGTGGGAGGGATATCTGATTTATGTTTCTTATTGGAAGATGAAGAGTAACGAACATATCGTTTCTGAGAAAATAATTTGCTCTGATCAATGTAATTATTGAGTTTGACCTCAATAACTTCTATTCTTTCAGCTAGATCTTTAAACTTTCTGCTTAACCTACCTTCAAATTAAAAAAAAGTTTTATGCAGATTTCTTGGTAGGATTTGATTATTATTTCTTGTAGAGAATTCAGTGCTTCAGTAGAAAAACTAAAATGTGGTTGCTGAGGAGATTGGTGGGGGTCTTGCTGAGGATGTGGGGTATGATGGGCAAATAGGGAGATTGGGGGAGGTTGATGGGTGGATATTTCATGAGGGGAATCAAGGGATGGAGGGCTGTCTGATGGATATTTTTTGATGTTAACCAGATCAATTTTAGCCTGAGAAACTCCTTAAAGGATATTAAAAATCTGGCTTTTCCTTAGATTAACAAATAAATTAGTGACCACCTCTATAGTATATACAATATCATCGGTCCATCGTAGAAAATGTGACTTTTTGTCAGCATACATAGGAGCATGAATAGAAGTATGCTCCAGGAATCAAATTTGTATAAAGCTGAAAGAAAATTTTAGCAAATGAATTATAAAAATTAAATAAAATTTAGCAGTTAGCACTTAGCATTTATAATTAGCAGAGATACAAAGCCGTTGATGTAACCTGTTGGCTTCTTATTTAAAATCTTGGAGGAGGCCTTATTAAACTCTCCAACTAAAAATTCCCTAATCGACTCCGCCCAGTTTATTGACAAAAAATTATCTTCATTATTTGTTATTCTTTAAAGCAACCGAGGGGCCTTAAAGTTGTTAAGTTGAAAAAATAAATTTAAACATAAATACATAATAAACATTTTTAACATAGTCGGGGGGGGTTTGCTTGTTCAACTCCAGCATGTCTGTCTTAATATCCAATGATGTAACTAATATATGTGCTAAAGAAAGCCATGATATTTCTTCTCCTTTATTTGACAGACCAGTAAGAAGAGCCATTTTATTAGCAGTGAAAGGAATAGGCTGACCTTTTAGAATAAAACATTGCTTTGAAATATTCCACCTTGAGATTAACTCATAAATAAGTGGGATATTTTGCTCAAACCTAGGAAATTGCAAAAATTTTATGATCTTTAAACGTTTCAATGTATCCATGACTTCAGGAGAAATTTGCTGAGCAAAATTGTCACAGATTGTTCGAAAAGTTGAAACATAGCATCGATAGGTAATAGGAACATATATCAGAAAAATAAAAATTAAAAACATATGAAATAAGTAAAAAGATAAGCACAAAAGACGCACAACATAAGCATAGAGTACGCACAACATACGCATAGAGTACGCACAATGTACGCATAAAGGACTCACAACATACGCACAAGCACGCACAGTATACACACAACATACGCATAGAGTACTCAGTGCTTATGCACAGCGTATGCACATCCTACGTGCAAAATTGACACAAACTATTCTAGTTTAAAAGTTTAGGGTTTAATTGTTAAAAACTTAAAATTTAGTTAGAGTTTAGATTTCAAATTTCAACATAAAGCCATAAACCCTAATACAGAGAAAATACGATGGCATCAAAGTATCAAACATTTAAAAAGTTTTGAAAATGAATGCATACGCATAGCGTAAGCATAAAATACGAAGAACTTCAAAACCCTGAACACCTACACATAGCATAAACATAAAATGCGCAGAACTTGAACAAAAAATGTGCTAGAAAGTTACCTTTCTCTTTGGGGTGACGACATCTGAGAAGGAACTGAGCGAATGCTTGAAATTACTCTGGAGTGAATGCTTGAAACGTATGCCGAAAGTTAAAAACCAAAACACTGTGTGAACTGTGAAATTTTTCTTCCATTTAACCTTTACCAGGGTTTAAATGTTGATGTCACATCGACATCTCACTAGGCAATCCACGTTTGCAATTGGGGGGTCTGAACTGCACAAAAATATATTATGTTAGTTTTTATGGAGGCGGTGGCTCAAATATGTGAGGCGAGCTCAGTAAACTTGAGGCGTAAGCCTCAAACCTGAACTTATTGCATGGGCTTTGAGGCTTAAATAGAACATATTGCGCTGAGGCGCACCTTTTATTGCGCAATTTTAAATCATTGTGTAAAGTAAATACAATGTAAAGTATTCTGAATACTTTGAGATTGTTTTTTTGTCTGCAAAATAAATGCAGGAGACCTGTTTCTCTTGTTTGGTTAGGTATATACAGAGTAAAGTAAAAGCGGTGTATTTGTAATAATTTATTTTAACATTACAATTATGATATTTAAAAAAACATTGTATTTATAAGAATTAGTATTATTTGATTTTACTTCCATATTTGTCTCCATCTGTAGCACTTATTCGCAGTCGTCAAAGGAGCCAGCTTTTTTACAGAGGAAGTGGCAAAATATGAACTTGAGTAAGAAAACTAAAATCTAAATACACTTTGTATTTTACGAAAATTCTCCTTCAAGAGAAAGAAAAGAAAGCAAACCGCCTCGATTCCCCACTCTCGTTGGCAAAATCTTCGCCTTTATCTCTTTCACCATCGTTGTAAATCCCCCATTATTACCAGCCGCCGCCGTAGCCGAAGTTCACCCCCTAGCAAAAAATGCAAAACTGTATATCTTTAGTCAAGCTGCGCCAGAAAGCATTGTTGTGAAGCATTTCAAGCCGTAGCCGAAGTTCATCCCCCTGCCGGCTTCTTACTTGATTTTCAACCTTCAACCTCACTGTACCGAATTTTCTTTACTTAATCGTGTCGTTTTCCTCTACTCTATCAATCGCAAACTGTTGTGGATCAATGGTTTATGATTTTGATGATAACAAACATTCTTATTTCTCTACGACTCCTTATGTACTGACATTTCAGGTTCACACAATCGGACTGCAATTTGGAATCAGCTCAAGATTGGGTAGACTAGGTCTGAGTCAAACTGTACATTTTTTCCTTTCTTGAGTCTATTTTATTTGAATTCTCATCCCCTGATGAGAAAACTTTAGCAATTCTTTTGTAGAGCTTTTATATCTTTATCCTTGCCTTTATTTTTCTATAACATTAGTCATAATAAAAATCTAGTGAGCTCTGCGACTCAAAAAGATATTTACCACTAATACATCATTCAAGTATATGAAACACTAATTACTTGTGTATCAACAAGCAGAAGCAAGAATTATATTTACTCATGTAAAAAGGAAAGATGCATAATATGGAGTCTTTTAATAGATAAAAATAACATAACACGAAAGAGTTATGTTTATCAAAACCAACCATTCGAGTAAATCTCATAATGCCAATATCATTGCCCTATGTCACATACTACCAAAATTATCAACATGCCAAATACTTTCAACGAGTAAACCATACATCACAATATGAATATAGATTTCATTTCATCAAATAACTTCCTTATTCTAGCCTTAGAAAGTGCCATGTCCACATAGTT